ACGTATCTGATTGTTTGTTAATTTCCGGTATAAATTCTTTCCGAGAAACTTCAGCGATACAAGTCCTTTCTTGATTAACCCAGTTTAATCTTCCTCGATACAAACTTTTAATACACAGTAATTTCACAGTGAGTACTGCTACACAGAGGTTATGCTACTTGAGCAACAAAACATTCTGGAAGACAGAACATTGTATAGACTAGAAATGAAAAAATTGCTGAATAAGTAGATTTCTGTTAATTACCCCAAAAAAAAGTAAATGGTTATATGCAGGACCAGATTAAGGTCTCATGGTGCCCCTATATACAGGTCCATATGTATTATAGAATCATAGATATACAAGTAGTATTTGTATGTTGAACAAAAACAGTACAGCAATAGCACAAAATATTTATTCATATATAATATTGTTACGACAGCGGAAGTCACATGACGCTAGTAACACGTCATGAACTTCTAAAAAAATCATGCCCCTCGTGAAGCCTCGAGTGTTTACTAGATGTACGGTATTCTTGTATGTAAGACCACCAAGAAGTGACGGCAACAATTTAATTGAACTGCAGACAGAGATAGAGACTGACAGTTGAGTCAAGCACATGAGTCGTTCGTTGTGAATTATAGCATTTGTTATAGTGTGACTGTGGAAATTAAGTGTATTGTAAAGTTGTATTCAGAAAGAATAAACCACTTTTATTTAAGAAAAGACTTGTATCGCTAAAGTTTCTCCGGAAAGAATTTTTACGGAAAATTAACTAACGACCAGAGATGTAACAATATACATATTTTAAAAATAATTTTGTATTTGATCTGTATATTTATAAATTGTAACTTAAAACTTGTTTATTCATAAGAGGATCAGAACATGGGACTTATGAACAGCAATAATAGTCATTTACTACCAGAAAATTTTTGCTTATTTTTTTGGGGTCCCAACCTTCAGCTATGGTTATACTGGAAAGTAGAAAAGTGGTTCCTTTAGAAGTGGTAGTTGGATTAAAATAAAAGACAAGAAGTAAAATTAATGGCTTTAGCATAAAATATGTGCACTCTGTTGAGGGGCTCAAAGGACCCACATGATTCACAGCCACATTCTATCAATCAATTATTTCTTTAGATACCACAAGGGGTCTTTGCCCCCTCCCCCCCAAAAAAAAAACAACAGAAAACAAAACAAACGTCTTGTCAGATGAAATGTAATATCTTATGAGTGGCATGCCAGTGAATATTTTATAAGTTAGGCACATAGACTAAACACTAATAAATATATTTCATTTAAAAAGTAGATAATGAATGTATTATTAGAGAAAAAATGAACAGTAGTTATAAGTTGTGAAGGATAAGTTTGTTTCGTTTGATTTAAGTAAAACTGATTGAAGGTTAATCTTTGCTAGCCATCCCAAATTTTGAAGTGATAGACTAAAGAGAAGGCAACCAGTTAACACCACTGACTTTTGAGATATTACTGTGAAATTAAATGCTGGAATTTGACTGATAATGCACCATAACTCCAAAGTGAAGAGCTTAATTCTCTTTATTTTTTTATGGTAACAAGAAACTAGCTAAAGTTCTTCAACTTTACAGGCTGTCAACCTAATCACTAGTCCTCAGTGCAGTAAGTTTGTACTTCCTGTAGTTGACATATATAAGTTCTGGATATTGACTATTTCTCAAATATGCTAAGAATTTGTTATATATGAAATTTCTGTATAGCCAGACACATGTACAAAAAAAAAAAAGATATATCTGTGTCTATGTTTGGACGAATTTCCCATTGATATAGAAGCATTGAAATAGAAAAAATAAAATATTGAAGTACAGGACAGTAGTATGTGCCTGCTATACCCTTAGTTAAGATGCATTTTTTTGTAAAATTACTTCATTTTTAAGAGTTATTAGTTTGGACACAGAAATTTGCTCAAATAACATTTAAAATTTCCCTATTTTGAGAGTAAGATGTGGATTTGCTAATTGGCAATTAACCAAATTTCTTGTAGGGAAGATAGCTTTTGTTTAGTTTGTTTGTTATTAAACACAAAGCTGCACAGTATGTTATCTGTGCTATACCAACTGCAGGTATAGAAACCTGGTTTTTAGTGTTACAAACTTTCAGACTTACCACTGGGGAGGAATAGCATCTGCATAATAGAAAGATATTTTCCTGTCGATGGATTGGAAAATGGTGAGATTTGGAGAGTTTTGAAATTGTTCCAAGGATTTTTGTAAGAATAACTTTTAGAAACCATTTAGTAACTTTTAGGCTACATTCATTTAACTTTTGATTTAAAGTGAGTGTAAGCCTTTGTTCACTTGTACTTTGACTGTAGCTTAGTTAAGTTTTAGAAATTTTTTACTTGTATTATTGTCACTAAAGTTGTAGTTTGGATTTAGCTTTGTGTAACAGTAACATTAAACTGTAACTTTAGTTCTAGTTAATTGTTTTTGGGTGTTAACTTACAAGGGGGACACATAATTGATAAGAGCTATTGAATTAGTCTTAACTTTTTTCTTATCGGTTCAACACACCATTGAACACGTGCCCTTTTTCTTTTCATTGTATTGTTGAGTCTTTCGCCTTGTGATCCCAGTTGTATGTTGGAGAAATCAATAGTAGTCATGTATTCTAAGAATCTCCAGTTAGCAGGCTTAAATGACTGCTCTGCGGGAAAACCGTTTTGCATGGAAAATACCACAATATTTAGCAAAATATCATAGTTTTCTTAAAGACCATGAAATAATCATATCACTTAAATTTTTCACATAAAGATTTTTTGTTACTAAACTTATCCTTGTGAATATGATCACATATTGTGTTTACTTAATACAATTGTACATACAGATCACACACATTGCACAAAACATTTAAAAGCTAATTATAAACAATTTCAACAACAAATCAATTGGTAAACTAGTTTCATTCAGGCCATATTCTACAGATTAACAGTATCACTGTGAGGGTTGTAGCTGACAAGTCAAGAAAGAGAGCCACTGATGTTTGATGAACCCATAATGACCATTGACACTTTCCCTGAGAATTGAATTCATTACTATCCTGGCATGGATGACTAAGGGTACAGTGGAAATATGTTGTCAAATGGGATAGTCTGTATAAGACTCCCAAGCCTTTGCCAGCGAGAGTAACTCAACCACAGCTCTGGTCAAGGCCACCCAAAAAGACAATCAGGAGAGACTAGAGGAGCCATTAGTAAACAAAGTCCACCAAAAGGAGCTATTTTAACAGTAGGTGAGATGGCAGGCATAAAATGGTGAGCCTATCTGAGCCATGAGGTACATTGCCAAGGCAATTATGAAGGAGACTGGGACAATGTAGAGCTGATGAACAAGATACTAATGCAACTTATTGCTCTGCTGTCCAAGGCCAGGGATCTACTATTTGCCCAACAATCAGAGTACCTGAATATGTTTACCTGTGATTTTAAGGACATCTTAGTCATTTGGCCTAGTTTGTGAGGAAAACATTCTGGCTACTACCATGGGTTCCTGTGAGCTAGGTGAAAAAAAAAAAAATAAATCTCACCCTCAACATTCAAGAGTGCTGCAAATGAAGATTTAGACTGTTTTCTGAAGCATTTCAGGCAGGTAATGGTTGGGATGGCTTGTCTCCAGGACACACTGCACAATGCTTAATATTGATATATGGATTAGACTCCACTAAACGCTTGAGTGAAGTATAGGATTGAGAGGCAGTCATTGCTGATTTGTGTCAAAGGTTTTACCTGGTAGAAAATTAAGCAATCCATTAGACTGATTCAAGACTCAGAAGAGGAGTACCACAAAGAACATGGCTGACCTGCAATGGATTCAGTGAATTGTAAGGATTTCCTCATTGGCACAATACAGTTTCAGTTTTGTTTTTTTTCAAGAAATAAATTCACTGATTTTTAAAATTTAATTTGAGTTTACATAATTGGATCTATGTAATTTATTTTTTCAACAACCATTTAGATCTCCTTTACATGCCATTTGAAAAACATTTCGTATTTTGTAGCCTACTTTTAGAAAGGAATGTAAACTCTGTTCAAAAAATGTATGAGTAGGAAGAATTCAATAAAAAATTATTTCCAAATACAGAACTTACTGGAAGAACTTTATAATTCTGTTTGAAGCTCATATATGAATTGTAAACCACTTTCTCCAGTAGTCTGATGGAAAAAATTGGTCAAAAGTGTTCAGTCTAAAATAAACTGGTTGAAAGCAAAGATTTTTTTTTCAGTGGTGTAATAATAATTTTTCAATTCTTGATAAAAAATATTTAAGTAGTTAGGTATTACTTCACAACCTGGTTTAATGTTCCATAAATGTCATTATAAATCACTTATTGTAGCTAATTTCTATCTTAATAGGGTAGATATTGCTATTGTTTATTACTAATAGGTGTGATAAATCCATTTCAGTGTTTGCAAAATTATAGAGAAATGTATCATATATTTTAAATAACAAATGTTGCAAAAAATAATTTAAATTTTTCATTATGATTTTGCAGTTTTAATTCACAAGGGGTGAAAGATTAAGATTATTTTAAAGAGTTACCTGTAGAATTTAACCCCATGCTTGTGATATACTTAGGCAATTATGAAACAAGCAAACATCCATGAAAAAAAATATTCAAAATGATGATAAAAAATACAGGAAAAAAAACTTAGAACTATTTACTGGTTATCAAGGATGAAAGATTCTTTTAAATTCTTAACTGACAACTGAATGTAATATTTTATCATAAACCATGCTCTTGAGGATTGAATTGTACTTTTTTTTTCCAACTCAAAATTATTCAAAAAATAGAATTTTCAGTTTCTTAGAAATATTCCGAATTATAAATGCTGGATATATCCATGTATATGTGAAAACTTACTCATTAAAAGTTTGTTGAAGATTTCTAAAAACTGTACTAAAATAGTAACATTAAGCTACTGATTTACAAACTAATTCAGTTCTAACCCAAGTGCATGTTTTTTTGAAAAACTGAAAAACATTATAGAAGGTAAATTAAACCTACAAAGTACTTTTATTTCTTGTAAAAATATACAAAATATGTTAGAACTTTTTGTAACAGTGTATTTTCCTCTTCAGCACATATTAGTTGTTCAACAGTCCGTGAATGTGTTGCAGTTTAACCACCTCATGCACACCATAATTCTGTTAACCAACTATAGTTTTCTGACTCAATAGATGTTAAATTTTCTATTAACTGTTCCTGTGTTACTTTGAGTTCATTTCCGGCCAGTTTTTCATTCTTTATTGCAATTTCTTTGTCATTTTTAGTTATTGTTACTCCCAGTTTATCTTCTTCATCTGTTTCTGACTGACTGCTATCTTTTTCTTTCCTGTCTTCTTCCTCTTCATCACTTTCTTGAAAATTCCAAGTTCTACAAAAGAATAGTTTTGTTCTATAATAGTATCTTTAATATTAAGGCAGATTTTGTAGATTTTCTCAATAAAAGAATTGAAAATATTACATATAATCAACATCAAACTACATGTGGAAAACACAGGAGTAACAAATAAATCAAATGGGCTGTAATAAATTACACTTCACAAATCATAGGTAGTATAAAAACCTTAGTTTAGCATTTTTTATATCACAAAAATGTTACTTTTCATAATTTGAAAACTACAGTAATACTTCGTTATGTGTACGTTTGATAAATGAAGTTTCAGTAAAACAAACTCTGGATTTTTATCATTATTTTTCAGAGAAAGCTAAAAATAAAGTAAAATAATAAATAAATAAATAATAAATTTATTGATCTACACTACAATATAAATAAGATGAATATAATAATAAGATATGGATTCTTAAGCGTTTCCCATCAAGATGGTCGTATATTGTTTGTTAACATTTGTCTCGGCTGTCAGGTTTTATATATTGGGCAGGGTTCTTTATAATAGGTGTCTGTGAAGCTGAAGAAAACAAAACAGTTCCAACTTCATTCCTTCTAAAAACAATGTTCCTCTTCATCAATGATTGAAGGAGATCCTTAAACTGGACCTTCATCATCGATGGATCCGGGCAGCCCTCCCCACCCCTTCTCCCACCAAATCCATGAACAGAGCAGGTGGCAGTACACTATGTTTCTTTTATTTATGTCAGTTTTTAATACTATACAGTATAAAGTACTTTATAATATTACTTTCAAATAAATTGTCTTTGCTTACATTATGAATTGTAAGTTATGAAGTATTTATAGTATGAAATGGTAAGTTACAAAGGCTGGAAACACATCCTCATAGTAATGATGTTATAAGTTATTCAATATACAAACAAAGCTCTAGGAATGCATCTACTTCTTATATTGAGGTATTACTGTATATATATATTTTCTAGGTCAGAATATTTTCATTTAAGGATAACTCCATATTCCTAAATAACAAATTTTTACACATTATTCTATAGTCACAGTCCTAATATAAACCTATCATTTTTCTAGGCCAGCACCATAACAAATACAGCTATCTTTAACAAGATTACCATTCTAATATACTCTTCTCACTACCACTGGTAAACAGCTCTTCCCGAGTCATTAATCTTATACATTTCCTTCTTTATTTTAGTGAACTAATCTTACGATTAAAGTGCTTATTCTAAATGAAAACAATCTTCAGCATTTTTCTTTCCTTAATGTTTTAAAGTTCCACTCATTACAATCAGTTATCTACTTACTTTGCTGTTTGATGAGTCAGCAATGATGTCATGAAATTTGAACACAAAAGTCCTACTGGAGGGAGGACATGAGAAGGGACTTCCAGGATCTGTGAATTATCAATATTATATGTTTAAAATTACTTATGTTATTAACCCTATGCAAATGGCACTGGTGCTTTGCACCAAACCATTTTATATGAAGCTATTTATAGTAATGTTAATTATAATTCCAACTTTACTAAGTATATCTTCACAAAATTTGGTAAGCTTTTAATAAACATTACAAGTATGTTGTACTCAAAAACATAAAATATTTTTAATAAAGTATTCTTACTACAGATTTGTCTGAATTTACTGACTCTGAATATTCTGAGTGAAATTTAATTTTCATGTTAAGAATACTTTTACCATAATACATTTTTCACATTTTATTTACATAACCTTTAGAACCTCTTATATGAATATCAAATATTTCTTTTAGTTAAATTTTATGTTGTATGTTATTTTCTCTATCCTATCACTATATTTAATAAAACCAACAATGTATAAAGTAAAATGAAAAATTGAACAATATGAAATAAACATAAATTACCCCTTTTTCTTTCTAGGATGACGACATATTGTAACAGACAATTACAAACTATTTATTCTTTTACCCCAAGATAACAGACTTTTCAAACCTCGGTTCATTTAGTTTTATTGCTTTACAGCTGCACTTAGACCCTCTCAGTGTATGCAGAAAGCTATTCATCACAGCGTGACAGATGTAAATAAAATATTGAGTTACAAGCACAACATGACAAATTACAAACATGACTCATTCATATAGCATACTATGATATTGACTGTCGTGATCAATTTATTTAATTTTTGTTTAGATTTCTTTATCTAACCTAATAAATTTCTAATTTTTACATTTTAATTATGTTCATAACAATAAATAACTATACACATAAAAGACAAGAAACTTAGTATTTAATCACTGGATTCCTGCTTTTTTTGCTGTAAGCAGACAAAGCACCATAGGCCTACTTTTATGTAAGAATGCCAGTGCTCAAAAATACTTTAAGTGTTTATATCAAATGTGAAATTTAGAACACAAAACACTATCATACAGAAAATAGAGAATGTCATAAAACTACTATAGTTTAATTGGCTTTCTAACTAAGCTACAAACAGATTTACAAAATTATATTAGCTGTTTGGAACTCAATAATGATCACACAAAAAAAATCTAAGGTGAAATGCCTATAAATATACAGGGAAAAGTTATAACCTTTAGCAGGTCCTTGTAGAGAGCAAAATGCTATGTTTTTGTGGGTGTCACAAATTTATTTATATTTTATTAATTGGAGAAGGTGAGAGGTTTATATTCTATATTCTGATCTGTCAATACATATAGTTTGAGTCTCTTAAAAGTGAATGGAGAAAATCAAAAACAACAGAATCAAGAGGAGAGATGCCTCATGTGACATGCGGAAGATTAAGAACTTGTTTAAATATTTCCTTTCAAAAGTTAAAATTAGATAATGCAATACTTTGAATTATGATCCATGTTTTTTTTGCTAACTTTATTTACGTAGATTGATCCATAAAGTTTGATTGTAACTCTGTCTGTAAAAAAAGTCATGACAATTCACAAGTGAATTCTGACCCCTCACTATACACATATGGTTAACAAACAAACAATCAAATAATTCACATTGTTCCACAAGCATGAGGCAGTAATTATAGAGTAATGAAAATAATGCTTGTTTGGTTATGATAACATAACATAAAGTTTAGGGACAACCTATGAAAGAAATTAACATAGTTTTCTCCCATTGATGCCATGGTTGCTTGACCTGTTCTGGGAACAAGAAGAAAAGTTTTCTAGTTCCCCAGCTCTTGCAAATGATAGTATAGTTAATTATAAGTAAAATATTTACAATAAATATCAATTAATTAATTAGTTACATATCAGTGTGAATACTAAAAATAATAATAACTGAATAATGTTGTGTTATTAGTTTTTACCATAAAAACCTGAATTGTAAATTACTTAAATGAAGTTGATAATAATTACAATTCACTTCCGTAATCTGGTTCACACCAAAACAGTTGCTGTTTATGAAAACTAATGATATATTAGTACTTTAGCCCACTAAATGATGAGCCCTGGTATTGGGTGAAAGGCTTTATCAGCACTAGATACGGCAGATGTAGCGTGGTTGACATATTATAACATATTCTTATTTGCTTTCACTTATTGGTCCTTAGAATCACCAACAGTTTTACTGTAAAAGCTAGTACAATGTATCTATTTTAGTGAAACTAAAATATCTTAATTGTTATTATCTGCAAAACTAGTGTAGTTAAATAAGTCTAATGAAATAAATTCATTCGTATATTTAACCCAAATATGTGCCATACATTTTTACATATAGACAGACTACTGTATACATACTAATAGTAAAAAAATTTTCTTCTTGCTAAAAACTATTTTATTATTTAAATAAAAAAATTAGCAAATACTACTCACAATGTTATTAAAGGTGAAATAACAATGTATACATAATAGTTTTTACTGTTCCATGTATAGAATAAATTTCCAATAAAGTATTTTATGTTTGTTCAGTTTTACAATATCTATAGTTACTTTAACAAAAACACTTAATAACTTTCATACTATATTTTTCTCTATGGTAAAAATGCTACATAGTGCCCGTTTCCGCATTCTTACAACTAAAATTAAACGTGACTTTTCAAACAATCTTCTAAATTTCACATGTCAAAATCAGCAGAAAATTAAGCTGTGCAATATATTAAAAACTATAGCTACCAAATTATTATTAACTAGCAATGGATTGATGAATCATAAAAAATTACAATTCTGTTTACATAGCATACTTTGTTTAAATAAAAAACAACACATGATCTCAAAGTATGAGCTCAATTATGGCATTTTTAGAGAAGAAAATTTCATTCCTTTATCTTCTCTTTATAGTCTTTAATGCATTAATGAGGAAGAGAATTGTAAAAGGAATGATTCAACTATCCTTATTTATAGGTTTAATGGATTTTGATAAGAGAAAAGTCTGGTCTATTTACAGATTTCCTGACCTAACATGAACCTTAGCAGATTACATAAGAAAATCAAAGAATAATTTTGAATTCTATCATCTTTAGTTGTCAGTAATGCAACAGAATTAATCCTGCCTCATTTTCAACTAGCAATTCAAAGACAATTTCCAGAAAACTATTGTATCTGGATGACTTTTAATACAAAAATAAACATAAAAAACCTGTAAACAAATTTTCAACGTTCATTTGGTGTTATAAATGTGTAGCAGAATTCCTCTATTATTTAAAAGTAATTCTTACCTGGTTAACCTCGTTTAATCCCAGAATTCCTTGGGACAGTTGAGTTTTAGGTTGTGAGGGCTCAACATCTGTCTTACGCTTCTGAGCCATTAATTGTCCAAATGGTGTGGTGGATAAGTTTTGTTGTAACTTCATCTAGATTTTTAAAAAAAATCATACTTTTACTTTTATTCTTTCTTTAATAACCACATGCATATGTTTTGAAAGTTAACAATTTTTATTATTTTAGTATGGAATAATATTGCACTATTTTATTTTAACAAACAAACATGTTTGAAAAAATGCTATTAAATCCACAGTACTTTACTATACACTTGAATAGTAATATTGCTGGTAATATAGTAAAAAAAATTAAAACTAACACATTCTGCTGTAGAAATGACTTAATAGCAAATTATAGTGATTATGTTAAGAAAAATAATTGGTAATACAGAGGGTTGAGTATGTTACCTTGAAATAATTTTGAACATGTAAATTGGCAAGTCACATGACAACCATTGCTAATATAAATCTGCAGTAGAATGACATATATTGGAACTACATTTTGACATTGACATTTTGTAGGTTGCGTGATGCCCCTTGAAATTGATTGCTTTTGGAAAAGGTATGTACCAGCGAGCTCTTTCCAAAGCAAAATATTCATACAATCAGCTTGTTTTTTGTTTTTCAAATTTTGTGCAAAGTTACTCAAGGGCTATATGCACTAACCATTCCTAATTTAGAAGTGAGGAAATAGAGCTAGTCAACATCACCTACCACCAACTCTTGGGCTACTCTTTTACCAACAAAATGTGGACTTTACTGTGACATTATAACTCTCTCACAGCTGAAAGGGTGAGTATGTTCAGTGACAGGATTTAAACTCATGACCTGCAGATTGCATGTCAAGTGCCTTAAACCACCAAGGCATGCCAGTTCTCATGCTCTCAGATCATAAAGATGTGTTCAAACTGACGATTTAAAATTTCAAAGATTGGAAAATAACAAAGGAATATGGAACAACTAGGGTCACCAGGATCATCCAAAAAGAAGCCGGCAATAGATCAAATCCAAGAAGTGGTAAGTGAAGTTAAGCATTTTGTAATAGTTGAGAATCCACCAACACAAAAGTCAATGGTAAAGACTGTTCATGTGTGTTAGGCAACAGTATGCAACATAATCAAAAAGGATCTATTTCCATCTGAAAACCTTCATAATTTGCTTCATGACATATCTTTTCAACCATCGCATGTCTCAAGTATCTGGAGAATGAAATGTATATTCATTAAATTTCATATAAAGACATACTAATCAATTTTTAAGATGCAGTGTTTTTTGGGCATCTATACAATCAGTAAAACAGGTGCTAAGAAACTGCTGTCCTTGTATACTAGATTGGCTTATGGAAAGCATGCAGGTAAGTGGGGTGGCCTCTGGATATGAAAGAATTAGGATGGAGCCTTCTGCAATGGAAACTATGCTGCAAAGCTACTGTCAAGATGTGTGATCAACAGATACAGCATTATCAGACATAGCAATGTGAACTATAACGATGTGATGAGATTTAAATTTTTTTAATACTACTTACTCAACCTCTGTCTTTACTTTCTTAGTTTCTGAGAAACTGTGTAGATTCTAGCAAAGTTATAGCTTAATTGTTCTTTCAAAATCAATTGGAAAAAACTTAACATTTTATATGAAGATGGTGTGCTAAGTTAAGCTAAAGAAAGACAGTTTTCAAATTAAAAAAAAACAAACTTAACTCACCATCAACATTACTCCTGATATTAAAGTTGTTACATGATGTATTTTGAATTAAGAATTGTTCATGTCTATTCATTAAAAACTTGATCATATATAAATGTTAGTTTAACCAGGTGACTTATCCATTATAATAAAAGATCAGATGTCACTGTGGCCAGGAAATGCAACTAGTATAACCTACCAAGTTTTTATCTGAGCATAATGTTCCAGCTAAATGTGCAGTTAAACATTAAAGAGAGCCTGGAAATTTTTAGTCTCTAGCCACTCTAATGTCAGCCTAGCTCAACTTACCCTTATATTGCGTGCTTGTTCTGTTTAGAACGCTTCTAAAGACTACCAAAAGTGACACATTTATTTAAGATAATTATTTTTATGTACATAACAAGTTCCTTAAAACCTACTATCAATATAATATAAAGATGATGTAGCAAACTCAAGAATGTTCACTGTAAAAGGTAAAAATATCAATTACTAATAATGAATTTAAAACAAAAGAACCTTTTTAAGACCTTATTCACAAAAATTAAGAAGACATATTGTATGGTTAACAAAATACCACTCTGGATTAAATAATTATATTAACCTAATTAAAACTGAAAAAATTTTCAGTCTTATAGTCAATATTTTTGGATTATTGACAATGGTATTTTTTTTTGGTTTGGTATTCTGAAATTGCATTTTCACTTTGTATAAAACAATTTTGATGAACAGATGGTTATAAAAAAAAGCATGCCAGTTTATGTAATTTCAATTTCTCACAGAACCTAGACGTACTGGTTATAACTATTTCAAATGATAAAAAAAAATGTTCATATATATTTCTCATACAACTTTAATGTAATGGTTATCAACTGAATTTTGAATGATAACAAAAAGTGGAAAGTTACTTTTTTATTGTAAACTTTAGCTTTAGTGAACCAGTTGAGAGCATCATAACTATATATGCCTAATGCCCTTTTAATATATGGTAAACTATTGAATTTTGACATAACAATATCCATCTCTTCAAAGGGCAGTTTTCTCTGAAAATTTCTACTTTAAAATGAAACAATTCTAATCTGTTACTTGAGATTTTAAATAATCAATGTCTTATTTTTCTTGGAAAGGCCTTAACCAATTCAAATAACTTAATTTTGTCATCTAGTATCAGTATTTAAAGCCCCTACCAAAATTATATCACAAAATTAAAGAGCAAAATAAATATTAGTTAGCTAAAATGTATGAAACAGGATGTGGCATTCAATTTAATGTACAATCATAAAAATTTGATGTTTGTTATAACTCTTCCAAATATACATAAAAATATGCAAAATAAATATAAATACAATCACAAATTAAACCGTTTGTTTATTTAGGATATTTATGCAAAACTACAGAAGGGCTAACTGCAATAAGCTGTTCCTAATTTTGAACTGATAGACTAGATCATCGTTTCCCAACCTGGGTGGTACTGCCCCTAGTGTGCATTTTTAAAATTCAGGGGTGCAGTAAACTTTGAAGGAGTGTCAGGGGGACAGACAGAAAAAGTTTTGAGGGTTTCATAGTTATATTTGTTAAAATTAAACCATAAGAACTGACTATTATTGCCTTACAATTTTCATTTTAGCAACATATTTTAATGGTCTAAAAATATATTAGAAGGGAGCATGAATGTTCATTGTTTGCTAAAGGGGGCGCTGCAGCAAAAAATGTAGGGAAACACTGGACTAGATGAAAGATAGATAGTCAACAGCACTCACCACCAACTCTTGGGTTACTTTAATTGAACAGTGGTATATGACCATCACTCTTATAAAGCATCCACAGCCCCCAAACTGAGGAGACCAATTCTGAGGTAATAGGATGCAAACCACTATACAGTATAGTAAGATAACCACTATGCCATGCCTAGACTCATAAATTAAATCTCTTCATATTAGGCATAATATACTTTTCTTTAAATTACTTATATTTATAACTTTTTAACTAAAATAAACATCCAAAAACATTTTACCTGTGAATCTTCAGGTTCTGGGTCTGGTTCATCAGTAATAGTTAACAGTTCCTGAAGTAAAAAAAATAAAATAAACAGCAATGAAATACTTTAATATAAACATGAGCAGAAGGCTAAGAAAAAAGCTATGGTTATATCTTCTTTGATTTGAACCTCATATTTTTCATGTCTCGATCATTTATTAAATTTGAGTATATATACAGTGAGTGGTCACAAGTAAATAGACACCTAATTTTTTGTCATTTAACTGATTTATGCTAACTAATTTGTGTTCACAGAGCATTATATAAATGAAAAAGGTCCGCACCCTAATTATCTTGTGCTATAACATGCCTAGAACTCAAGGTTCTCTTGAATTGTCAGATTTTGTTAGAGGAAGGATAGTTGGTCAAGCAGATGGTAGAATAAGTCAGCGGAAAATTTCGCAGAATTTGGGAATCCCGCTTTCGACAGTCAACAGTTCATCGTGCAGTTCAGGAAACACGGCAAGGAAACAACTGAGCAGCGTCCGGGTCATCCTGGTTCATCGGAGGGGACAAAAAGGGGTGTCAAGAGGAGCATCGAAATGGATCCCAGAATAACGACTGCAGAAGTAGCCAAAGTTGGTGGGATGAGCCCAAAATCTGTTCAACGGATTCTCCACAGATTGGGTTATTGTTGCAGAACAGCTAAACGGAAGCCCTTATTAAGGCCTGCCAACATAGTCAGACGAAAGAAGTGGGCAAGTGATATGATGACCAAGCCTCTGGACTTTTGGAAGACCGTATTGTTCTCAGACAAATCAAGATTCACTCAATTTTCGGACAGTGGAAGGATATGGGTCTGGAGAACGCCTCGCCAAGAGTTTTGGCTAACCAGATTGCAGCCAACTGTGAAGTATGGTGGTTTCAGCGTGATGGATTGGGGAGTTGTCTGGGCTGGTGAGAGATCAAGCTTGGTGGAGTACGTTGGCAACATAAATTTTGGGAAATATGTCGAAATATTGAAGGAAGGACTCTTGCCATTTTATTTCT